AATTAAGCCATTCCTTCCCTCCCACCCCTTCCACATTTCCATCCTTTAAGGGTTTTGGGGGGTTGCAACCAAAGCCCCTTCTGTTCTGAGCTTCGTGCTTCCCCAAAAAGCAGGAGGCAGATTCCTGGTCCCGACAAAACCCCTTTTATTAAACGAAAGTGAATTCCTCTCATCCACATCCAGCAAAGGCCTGGCTAACAGTTTTTCAAAGGAGTATTTATGACCACAGACCTTATCTGGCTTGGAAAACTGCCATGTAAATATTGTCCAAAGGAGGCGCTGTGCAAGGAAAGACTTGCCTGCTTTCCTTCTTTCCTTCCTCCCTTCCTTTCCTTCCTTCCTTCCTTCCTTCCTTCCTTCCTTCCTTCCTTCCTTCCTTCCTCCTTCCTTCCGTCCTTCCTTCCTTCCTTCCTTCCTTCCTTCCTTCCTTCCTTCCTTCCTTCCTTCCTTCCTTCCTTCCTCCTTCCTTCCGTCCTTCCTTCCTTCCTTCCCACTTAGCACTTAGACCTATATACCACTTCACGGGGCTTTTCACTCTAAGTGGTTTACAGAGTCAGCCTCTGCCCCCCCCCAACAATCTGGGTCCTCATTTTACCCACCTCGGAAGGACGGAAGGCTGAGTGAACCTGGCGAGATTCAAACGGCAGGCAGCCAGCAGGCAGCAGACATAGCCTGCAGTACTGCATTCTAACCACTGCGCCACCATGGCTCATCTTTAAAGAAAGGATGCGAAACGGTGGGCAAAATGAAATGCGAACGACAAAAATTAAAACGATGTTTGAAGTGATTTTAAAGAAGTACATGGAATTGTTGAATTCTCTCGCAGTGGGCTGGCTGTGGTGAGTTGATGGGGGAAAGTTGTCCCATTTGGGGCTGGAGATATCCCATCAAAGAGTCCTCCCTGGAATAAGAGCCGGTGGCCATGGGGCTCGTTCCCACCGAGAGGGCTCTGCATGCTACCTCATGCCATAAGTTCCCCATCACAGCCCTATAGCATTCTGGACGGATGTCTATCCAATATTGGAGCCGAGGTGGCGCAGTGGTTAGGGTGCAGTACTGCAGGCNTCTCTCTCCTTACCTACCTACTGTATTTCTCTCTCTTTCTCTCCCTCCCTATCCCTCTATCTATCTACCTACCTACTTTTTTTTTAATTTACCTCTTCAAAACCTTGGCGCGTCTTATACTCTGGTGTGTCTTATACTCCAAAAATATGGTATTAAACATGCATGTGGTCAGATGCCCACAGACCAAACTGAGACCTGTATTTTGCACAATCTGCGGCTTTTGGATTAAGTGCAAAGATTAACTCCACACAGAATCATGACAGGTGGTATCCCAACCAAAACTAGTAATAAATCTTCTTGGAAATGAGGTTAGTTAGATTTTTAACAAGAGCAATGAATCTAGAACACATAAAATATATATTCCAAGAGAAGAGTTACCTACCTTTCAAATCTCTGTCATTTCAAATCTCTGTCAATGTCTATTGGTCTTGTACTCAGACATTCACAGCCTCTCATGATACAGAGGTTACAGAGAAATAGCACTGAGTGTCTTAAGAATGACATGTAGGAATAAAGTCTAATTGACATTGCAATGACTCAGCGAGAATGACATTATTATACAAATAGTGGAGCAAGGCAACATTTCTTTCTAGCCTCAGATACTTCAGTTTTGCTCTGGGAAAAGATACAGAGATAGGAAAAATGAAATTGCACTTGAATTTGAAGGACAAATTGACTGGGACATTGTCACTAACTCTTCATCTGTTCACAATAAACGTTTGTTGTTTGTTTCTATGGGAGCCGCCACTCCTACTACATTCATTGTATTTTATATTTGCCCTTATCAGATGTTATGTTATAGTTCTTTTTCTTAAATTACTAATAGTCTTGATTTCAACAAAACATTCTAGTTATATCCTGTCTGCAGCTTCATGCTTTTTTTTAAACAACAGGAAATGGAAAATAACTCCTTATAAACAACTTCTTTCTCAATTAATGTGTACAGTGTTAGTATATAAAGGTAGTCTTAGGCTTACAACAGTAATGGAGATTGCCCATCATGGCTGTAAGTTATCGCAGTTAAAAAGTGGGTCATCCTTATGACAAACCTAATTTTACAATCTTTTTTGTGTTGGTTGTTAAGCAAATGCTGCAGTTGTTAAGCGAACACTACAGTTGTTAAGTGAACCAATTGTTCACAATGGAACAGTTCTGCCAAAATTAGAAGTAAATGCCACTTTTCAACAAAAACTTCATACAACACAGTCATGTGACCACGAGGGAGGGGACCATTGGAACGTCAGAATCAGGTCGCAAGTACTCCTGGGATAGTCTGTCATAACTTAGAACAATCACTAAATGACAGTTGGTCTTACCTGAACTGTTATTTTAAGATGTTTGTAGGATGGGCCAGAGATGGTATTATCACAGTCATTTGGCCTCGAGACTGGGTTGAAGCTGAAGCCACGCCTCTGGGCTCCTCTCCTCTGACTCCAGTTTCAATGCAGTATGTGCTCCCGAGATCCTGAANCCTGTTGATGACGTCAGCGACGCGGTTTAATCGGGCACGGTTTAGTCGAGCGCGGTTTTGACGGGTCACGACTGGACAGCACAACCTCCGATCCGGCCCAGCTCAGGACACAGGTGCCCACAGAGCAAAGGGCCCCAAACCGACTCTTAAATGGATTCCCTCTCGTGGTGGTCGACAAGGACCCCGCTGCCCTGCCCCCTTCGCAATTTAACAAGGCACAAGAAACCCTTCCTGCTGCAACCCTCCTGTGCCCCCACTCCTTCCTGCTGTTGGGCAGGGAGTCTCGGGTGCCACTCTCAGCCGGGAATTCGGCCGTTCTCAGCTTATCCCACTTGGGGGTCCAGACTGCCCCACCCCACTCCCAAAGCCAAGCTGCCAAGGCAGAGTCTGACCGCCAGGGACGCTACCTGTTGGCTTGTTTGGGCTCCTTGGGCGCCTGGCGGGAACCGAAGAGGTGCGCCCACTTGGGCTGGGTGCTGCTGGGGACACGGCTGACGGGCTGCTCCTTCCGCGGGGCCGTCGGCTGGTCCTGCTCCCTGCTGTGCTTCAGCTCCACCAGCACGGCGTCTGGGGGGCTGCCCATCCAGAAGGGCCGGCCCTTCTCCTTGCTTTCCTGCCCAGCCAGAGAGCCCGGCTTCCAGGGCAAGCCCTTTGCCTCCTCGGCCGGGAGCCTCTCTCTGACTAGGGGGGCTTCTGTGGGGGGGCAGGCCTCTGCGCCCTCCACCACCCCTTCCCTCGGGGGAGGGCCCTTCCCAGCCTCTGCCGACTTGGCCCCCGCCCTCTTCTTGCGCTCGGGGTGGGCGAGGCGGGCACCCTCCGGGGAGCCCTGGATGTAGACCTGGGAGCTCTGGGTGAGCTGCAGCCACCAGCTGGCCTGCCTGTCCTTCTTCAACTCCGGGGGCCCCTTGGTGGGCTCCGCCGCTCTCTCCAGGGGGGCTGGGCCCCGGGAGGCTTCGCCGGCTCGCTGGGCGGCGCCCCGGGTGCGCATGAGCTGCAGTGTGGAGTGGGCGGAGAGCAGCAGGCCCTGCTGGCCCCGCAGGAGCTCCTTCTGCCGCTGCTGCCACCGGCCCTCCTGCAGCAGGTGGTGCTCGAAGAGAAGGTCCAGGCCGAAGGGCAGCAGGGAGAGGGGCTGAAGCAGCAGCAGCACCTCCTCAAAGAGGCCCTGGCAGGCCCCGTGCCCCAGCGGCAGGAGGCCCGTTGGCTGGTAGTGCACCTGCAGCACATCTGGGGGGGGGAAATAGAAGGGCACGGTCACCAGGGCCCCCCCAGGCAGCTCCAGCAGCTCTGAGCCCCAGCCGGCAACCAAAGGAGATCAGGAGGCTCCGGGCAGCTCAGCTCCATCCTACCAAGCCCCCCCTCCCCAACCCTCCCTTGGCCTCCCTGCCTTCTTTCAGAAGCTGGGGAAGGGGCCCATTGCCAAGTGGCCTGGCAGGGTCTGTCTCTGTCTGCAGAGGGCGGGGCCGCCACCTGAGCGACATCCCTGACCCAGCCCCAGACAGGGCCCTTCCTCCCTCCGGTCAGGCGGAAAGACCTACCCTCGTGGTTATAGAGGTGGTTGAACCAGAACTCCAGGGACCGGACGCTGTTGGGGGAGAAAGCCGAGAGCGGGTGAGAAGGGGCAGGAGCCTCCGGACGGGGCTGAGGTGCCCCAAGAACCATCTGGGGACACAGGGTGCAATGGTGAAGCTGCTGGCCTAGGAACCGGGAGATGGGGAGTTCTAGTCCCGCCTTAGGTAGGAAAGCCAGCTGGGTGACTTTAGGCCAGCCCTCTGGGAAAAGCGGGTGGCAGGTATGTTTTCAGCCTTGATTTGGACCAAAAATATATGGAAAAAATGATAGGAGGATAAGAATCCAAGAACCGAATAATCATCAGCCCCAGGGCCTAAGCTGCTTTCGAACAGAGGGCTGGGGGCACATTGGAGAGAGAGTCCAGGGGCGCTCGGCCTCCTTGCTTACGGAGGAGGTTCCTCCTTTCCCTTTGACCGAGGAAGAGCCCCCCTCCGAGGATGGTCAGAGGTTCCTCCCTTGGGCTGCTTCTCTCAAACACAAGGCCTCGACCTCCCTCCTCTGGGTCTTCCTTTCCTGCCAAGAAGCCTCTTGGCCCTGCCCGCCAGTCAGTGGGTGGGTGGGAGGCAGGCAAAGCGGGGGCGGAGGCAGCGGGGAGACGCCCTGGAGCAGCATCGGAGTTGGGTCAGGTTGGGTCCTGGTACAAAATCTGTTCTATGTTTAGGCTGGTGGTGAAAGGAGGCTCCTTCGTTCCTCCCATTGCTGGACTTCAACTCCCAGAATTCCCTGGGAACCAGCATGGCCGGGTTAGGTAAGGGTTAGGGTACGGCTGGCTGGCTGGGGAATCCTGGGAGTTGCCCCCTCAAAGTGGCTGAGGTTGAGTAACGCGGCTTCAGGAGGATCCCTCCCCTCGTGCTGCCTCCTTCCCAGGGGCAAAGCACCATGCCCCCCACACGCAACGGGCGGGGAAGCAGCCCTGCTTACTTGAGGAGCCCGAAGATGAAGGCATTGAAGCGCATGCTGTGGCTGCTGAGCTCCGGGGACTGGCTGATGCGGCTGTAGAGGCTGTGGAGGACCTTCGTCGAGGGCCCTGCGGGAGAGGAGCGGGCAGAGGATGTCTTGGCCACCCGTGGGTTCCTTCAGTTATGGGAGCCCCCAAGCCTTCAGGTCCAAAAGCCCCCCTCCAAGTGCACTTCCGAGCCAGTGTCCCCCCTCCTGCTGCTCCCCACTGCCTCTTTTAAGCAGCCGGAGGGGAGAGACGGATCCCCCTTTGCTGGCACTCTGGGCAGCCCGCCTGCTTAACAAGGCCGCAGGGCTCACCCGGACAGCCCTCACCCCCGTCCCAGCCTGAGGGGTGCCGGCTTCTTCCTCTGGGCCAGGACCGATGGATGCTGGGAGGGAGACCTGGGCCACCCCAGGGCAGGAGGAGGGCAGGGCGACCCTCGGAGACCGGACCCCAAGGCTCCCTACCCAGCTGTGTGGAGGCCTCCACGATGCTCCAGGGGACGTTCCGCCTCTGACCAACGATCACATCCAGCACGTAGGCCTTCAGCCCGTCGCTCAGGATATCCCGAATGGCCGGACACAGGTACTTCAGGACGAGGTGCCCCACATTAGGGCTCACCGAGCTGTTCCCCAGTTTGGCCTGGAGGAGAGAGGAGAGGTTAGAGGGTGGGGGCCATGCCTGCTCTCCCCCCTCCACAGCCCTCCCAGCGGTCCTCCCCCGGGCCCAAGCCTTTCCCTCCTCTCCCCCTCCGCCGTGCAGGGTTGGCAGAGACCTCAGCAGGCTTTGGGGTGGTCCTGCTCTTGGATGAAGCTGCCAGGGTCACCTGCTGCCCGGTGGGGATGGGGCCGCCAGGCAAAAACCCCGGGGAGAAGGCTTTCCTGGCAAGTAGGGAGGAGGTGGGGGAAAGCGCTTGGCCTGGTAGCCCACCTGCCCACTAAGTCTGCAGTTACCGTAAGAGTCAAGACGGTCCCACTTGAGTCTCCTCCTCACCTGCTCCTCTTTCTTGGGGCTGATCTTCCATCTTTTCCAAGCCCCCCCCCACACACACACTTCCTGCCCCCTTCCACTGTCACATACCTCAAAAGGCCATGTCAGGGAAGGCCTCTCACTGGAACGATGGAGGCACTGAAGGGAAAGGAGGCCAAGAGTAAAGCCAGCTCACCTTCACTCCAGGATCCCTGCTGGTCCCAAAGTGGGCCACGATGAGGTCCACGGACATGTTGATTGCTTTGACGAGGCCTGGTGGGCAGAAGGAAGAGAGGAGGCTGAGTTTGCACCACCCCCTCTGTTGTAATATAGTTCCTTGTGTAGGTGTGGGTCCCCCATGGCCCAGTTCATAACAGGGCATGCAGAGTCACGCTGAACCA